TAGCCAATTACTGAAATGGGAAAAATGCCATGAAACCTTGTGAAAATGTCCAGCAGACTTGGGTCAAAGAGAAGACCAAAACTTTGAAAAAAGATTGGGCGCCAAGAGAAAAGATAGAAAAGATATATACAACTCAGTAGTTGCACAAAGCTCAAGAAAACCAATACCAAAAACTCATAAAACCTGCATTCTCCTCACCAACACCTCAAATATCTGTCTAACCCCTAAACCATTAAACCTGCATCAGTATAAACCTGGAGCATACCCTGCATTAAACATACAAACTCAAGCCAAGAACCAGCCTACTGTCATCAAACACCAATATTCTGCCTCAACCTTTAAAAACACACAAAACCTGATAAACAAAATTAAAAACTTCACCATGCTTGCAAACTGATCAAACAAAAGCCATCAAACACATACAAAAACTCAAGCCAAGAACCAGCCTACTATCATCAAACACCAATACCCTGCCTTACCATTAGAACCAAAAACACCATACTGTCAAACTATCCCCTCAACAGAAATTCAAGGCAACCCAATCTCAAACCTATTCAAACACACAACATAACATACAAAAACCTGATACCACAGTTCAATTCAAAAACAATGCCAATATCCTGTCATACCAGTACCAAAACTGTCAAGGCAACCCAATCTCAAGCATAATCAAAGCACACAAAAATCCCTAAGCCCTCAGTACAAGCATCATTGGGCATTAAGTCTCAAAAATACATAGCATCCACCGTTTCAAGGCAATAACTGTTCACAGCATTCAACCATTCAAAGGGACGAGCGAAGAAGAGAAAGATACTCAAGCAACAGTTCCAATAATATACAGAACGCAAAGGCATCACAGTGGCAGAAGAAGATAAAGAAGTGAATTAGGGTTTTCAGGCAAGTCCAGCATACATCATCAAACTCTAGAAATATAAGCAAAGAACGAAAGTACCAGAAAAGCGTCAAACGCGAAGCAAGCTCCATCACCGCCGTTCCGGCCTCCTGAAGCATCACCCTTTTCTTCTCTCCTCCATCTCCAAAAGCAGGTAACGAGCCTTCTATCCCTTCTCCTTCACCTCATAAAAAACAAAAAAATAAAGAGCTCAGAACAAATTCTACGCGAATCAGAAAAGAAGAGGAAAATATAAAACGATTAGAACCAACCTTGTTTCAAGGGACGTGGAATTCTTGCCTTGGAGGGAAGAGAGTGTGAGGATGATGTTGGTGGCCGGAGACAATCAAATGCTCAGAAATTGCTAATCGGAGAAGACGAATACCACGAACGCGCCGCTGTTGATGAACCCTAACTCTCGTTCTGAAAACAACACGCTTAACCCTAATTTCGTTCAAGGCAAGATTGGGCCTGACCCGTTTCCTGATTACCCCAAAGCCCATTAACATTAACCTCTTTTCATAATTCATCAACAAAATTTGTTTAACCTACTCTTTTTTTCATATATTAATAATAACCCTTTAATATTTTATGAAAACATTTCATTTGCTTTACAAAAAATCATTTTAATACAAATACTTTCTTTTTATTTACAATTTAACTAAAGCATTTTATATATACTTATTTAATTAAAAATACTAACCTAAATAACAAAATACTTTTTATACACAAATTAAAATTAAAAACATTTTTTGAAATACATTTGAATATATTATCTTTTCTTTTTTATATATACATGATTAAATTGAAGATACTTTTTTAATCAAAATGCATACTTGTACATATTATACATTTTTCATACATAATTAAAATTAAACTCTTTTTTTTAGTTAATACACATTTTTGTACATAATAATTCGATGCATCTTTTAATGTTGAAATTCACAAAACATTTTGACTAAAACACTTTCTTTAAAACTTAACATTCTAATCAAAACACTTCATTCTTCTTTTGTACATAATTAAATATACGAAAATCAAGATTCATCTAAAAAACATTTATCTAGGTCAAAACCCTAATACGGCTCAATTTCACATTCCGCACTTGTACATATTTACACTTACACAATACATATACATTTGCACTTACACAATATATTGCCCTACACACATTTTATCTTACATTTATACATTTGACATTTATATTTTGATTGTGACATTCGATTTGGTTGTAAATACTATAAGTCTCATCCCCTTGTACATTTATATCCCCACCCCCTGATACCATTTTGTAATAGCGTAGATTTACATTCCGCAATTCACAGTTTTCCAATTATACCATGATTAGACCTAGGGTTTGTATGTACATAAAATCAAACGTTAGATAACCTAATACAAGACAAATGCATGTAATCAATACACAATCACACTTGCACCCTCTAAGGTAATCCCACATGTTGCCTTCCAAATGGGCCATGCTTGCACGTCGAATGTCTTTGGCAAAACGAAATCAAATGATCATAAGTCCCTCGATGACGCTTTCGAAAGTCGCCTATCAAAATGATCAAGTCCCTTCAAGCAAATTGCCAAAGACACTTGGCACTATTGCATTCATGGTCTATGCGATGACCCGCGCCTGTCCCGAATAAACTTCCTAAATACAAGATTGCCTACCAATTTCAATGGTAGAACAAAATTGTCAAAGGGGTTAAAACACAACGAAAATCTTTTGAGAAAGCTTTAGGGTAGATAAACTCTTAAGTACTTGTCAATTTGCAAAGAAAACACTTGCCTAATTTCAAAACCCACTTCACAAACACTTTTTCAAAAATCAAACTTTTCCAACCCTTGAAACATCTTTTTAAAAGATAAAACACCTTTTGTAAAACATTCGAGTAAAGAATTGTTACAAGGTTAGCCTAGCACAAGGCATCTTTTCAAAACATTTTCAAAACAAGCCACAAAGCACCATTTCACACAATTGAAAACCAAGGCAAGATTGATCTAAGCAAGTACCTAAGAGCCCATGGATAACCATGGATGAAAAGGGTGCTAATACCTTCCCTTTTCATAATCTACCCCCCGAACCCACGAAATATCTCAAAAAAGGTTTTTGATGTGCTTTTTTAACCTTTCCTTTAGGATAAAATAAAAAGTCGGTGGCGACTCTTGCTAACCGCACAAGTGCGAATACGAATGCAAAACACTAGTCAGTTCTCCCACCGTATCACAGAAAGCTTAAGATGTACTCTAAGAAACCTTTTAGTCTCATCTCAATTGAGTCTTCCATGTTCATGTATGAAGCTTTGACAAAAAAAGGTGTTTTTGTTGACTTTTCAAAATGACCTATAATGTCCAAATTCATAACTTCTTATGAGTGCATATTTTGAACTTGGAAGATGAAGATGAATTGTAGGGCATTGCATCCTATTAAAAATGAGCTTTGGATGGGTTATTTATAATAAAGTATGATAAAGTTATGCTTGGTCAAAGTTGAGTTGACTTTTCTTACAAAACCCTAATTTAACAACTTTTGGGTTTTGATGAATTGTGAGAAATCCTTGAGGAATCATGATCAACCCTTGATCAAATGATGAATAATACTTCAAAATGAGGATGTCGACCAAAAATCTTGAAGTTTGACTGTATGTGGGCCACAGTTGACTTTTGCCATAGCACAGTAGATTTTCAGGCCTTTGAGCAATTGACTGAGCAAACTTTCTCTGCAAGGCTTGAAACTTGACATGGATGATCTTGTGAACATATTAGGAAAATGGTGAGCATTTTAGATCCCTTGGACTCAAGTATCTTGATGCAACATGAAACCCTAATTTGAGGTAGACTGCCTTAGGAGAGAGTTTTTCTGGTCAACCCTTGGACTTCCTTGAGCAATTTGAGGATCTCACTTGAAATGTATTGAGAAATATAAAAGGGCAAATTTTGGGGTACAACAGTAAAGTTTGCAGAGAAATATTAAATGGAGAGGATTGTAAAAGAAATGTAAAAGACTTTGATTGCAATAAAGTATGGTGATTCAAACATACATTCTCAATATTCTTTCTCTTACAACGGGTACTTGAATAGAATTGAGTGACTTGTACAATAAGTTGAACACACGAAATTCTACATAAATTTCCTATATTCATACTAATAATAAGTAACTATCGAGCGGTTTCTTCATTCCAGGGTGAGGACAAGTGTCCTCTGCATACTCTTCGACCCCTATCTTCATGCCACATTGGTTTTCCTAACTGCCAAGTGAATTGTCTTTCCCTCCTTTCTTCAGATTCAAATCCACTTGCTGCTGACACAACCGGTCGAAGACTGCCTTTAACTTAGAAAATTCTCTAAGTGTTTTCTCCTTCTTAACAAGGATGAATTCAACATAACTCCTTTCATAGGCTCTTATGTCGAAGTGTCTTCAGCTTAGATTTCTTTAATCTATTTTTAGCCAATAAGGCCAATATGTGTAAGTGTTGAATTTAGGAGCTAACAATTAGCCTATGATTGTTTAGGATCCGTTTGAGAGTTGAGAATTTTGAAGGTTTGTATCTATATCTTGAAATGCGTGTGATATTTTAAAATTAAAAAAAAAAATACACTACATTAGCATATAAAATCATATTGTTTTTTAAACCTTTTAAAAATATCAAACACATTTCAAAATATAGACGTAAACTTCCAAAATCTTCCTATCCAAAAATCTCAAAAAAATAACTCCCAAACAGATTCTTAAGAAATTCCATGTCTTGTTGAACATTTTTAGAATGTGTGTTTCATGCCTTAGAATCTAACTCAGTTTTCATTTGTGTTCCATCCACAAATTCTGAGCCATTAGATCTTAGAGCATAATCCTTATTAAGATTTTCAACTAAGATTCCTTGAGCCAAAGATGTATCTTGTATTACAAGCAATCCATTAGAGCCATCCTTTTGATGAACAAAGAAAACAACTAAGGCCCCTGGATGAACCTATTTATCCTGCTGAAGCACCCAAGTAGAGGTAAGTTCCTTTGATGATCTTTCAACCTGATGATCCAATTATGCACTAGGAGGAATAAAGGCTATAAAGGCCCCTTCGTTAACTTGAATGACACAGTTCTTTTCTAATGGACTTTTGTTTTTATCTTTATTTTGTTTCTCACTGTCAGTACGCCCTAACCTTGCGATCAAGTACGTTACTTTGTTTCTCCTAAAATTTTCTACTCTTTTTGCTGCCATATTCTCTTCTCGCATTGAACACTCACTTGTTTTGTTATTAGGAAAAGAATCACTAGCACAAAGATTTGTTATGGATTTCGACGACATAGAAGCGCCGATCAAAGCCACTTCTCGAGTCTCAAGATTCGCGCCAAAAGCATCCAAACTCAAACCTAAAACCGAACAAATACTTCTTCCCAAATCTGAACCACCTTCATTCCCATCCGCCAAAGTCAAGCCACCAGAAATTGACTTAACTGCCAAACCTAATGGCATCACATCGACCAATGGCATTGTCAAAATTGACGAGTCTGAAGCAAAATTGGATTCCATGGATGTTGATATGACCGAGGCTGAAGTTCAAGAGGATTCAACACATGCTAATCCAATGGAGGAAGACGAAGAAGAGGATATTGTGGTTCGTAAAATTGATGTGTACTTTTCTCCTTCTATCAATGGCGGCACAAAGGTTTGTTACTGCTTATATATATTGTATAAAGTCGAAAAAAGTCAAAATAAGATACAATCGATAATAAATCAAGAGTATAAATATTATAAACTATTGTGTATGACAGACTCAATTCTTTGTTTACATGTTGTAGTGCCTCCCTTGCCTCCACCATCATGGCACCTACAATGTTTTGGCCTCAGAACCATCATAAAAGAGTCCTCTGTCAATACCTGTCTACCCAATCTCTACGATACGACGACATCTAGGCAACACATCGACATTATGATTTTCCCTAGCCTTCCCCCTGTAGTATCTTCTGATGAGTTGCCCTCGGTGGATCTTCTGGAGAATCTTGTATAATATAAGCATGTGACATCATAAAGAACCACCAGATGTAACTGTCTGCGTAGCTCTAGTCACTATGAGCTATGGTACTCCATGCCTCATTCGATACAAAATGATTAAGATACTCATCAAACATAACATCCATATCTCTACGTGTCATAACAGGAGGAGCAGACACAAAAGGGACTCTAAGAATATACTACATATAACCAACCTGTTACATGACACGCTCATGCAAATGAGGATACATATGAAGTGAACCGTAAGTCAACCATCCCGAGTATAAGGCTATGTTGTCAAAGGGACGCGCCTCACGGTGATCGAAGTACGTGTGAAAATGTATATCATTTGTTACCAAGCGGTCAAGATACACTCGGTATGGCTCCATCGTCTGGTTCCTTCTGAGCGGGGCGAATGCAGAAGTACGTGGCATATCCTTAGTGTAGGTCGGGAGACATGACCAACTGGATATGTATGGGAAGTGCTGGAAGATATAAGCCTGGAAATAGAACAAATTAATCATTACTAATAGGGTTTCAAAAGTGTTATGAGAATGACACAAAAACACTAAAAACCCATAAATATTACGCTTAATATGTGATGATGCATGTCATTTTTTGGTGTTCCATATATAGCCTTTGAATAACTTGGAGTATAAGTAGACCAAACAAGCAACCCCTTAGTTGTACTCATGGATCCGCTCGAAGGCATCAAAGTATCGCAGGTAGATGACATCCACATAAGTGGCAGTCTTATCCACAAAAATGACAATGCCAACCAAATACAATAAGTATGCTCTTATACCATATGCTCTATGTTGCACAACCTGCTCGTCATGACCAACACCCTGCTCTACTCTAAGAAACTCTTGAGTAAAAACTCTCTCTAGGAATCGAAACCTAGCATGATACCCTCAGGTGGCTTCAAAATCCTTCATGGTATCCTTTGGGTCAACTTCCAGATAGTCTACCATCATCTCTAGTACATCATCTCTGTTAATCTTTCCATGATCTAAAAGTTCCCCTATTTGGAAGATACATCAAACACAAGATATCGTCCACTGTGATAGACATCCCACCACATGGAAGATGAAATGATGATATATCTTTGTGCCATCTCTCTACAAACGCAAACAATATACCATAGTTAACCGTAACATAATCGGTCTTGCACAAGTCTTTCATCCTAGATAACCGCAAAACATCTTTAAACCACGACTCATCAGGATGCTTCATGCCAATAATCTTCTGCCACGGTTGATGAATTTTAGAGCATCACAGTCCTTCATAAAAATAAATTATCGTTATAAACTTTTAATATTATAACAAACATTGATTTACAAAGAATGAATCTAACTAAATTTTACCTCTCTGTCCCAGACATGTCTTATAGTATGGTTCAGGTAAAGAGGCAACAATGACAAGTTTGACGGACCTCCTCCAAACCCTTCACACGCCTCCTGTCTCTGGGGTACCTTAACTTCCTCTCGTACTTGTGCCAGATCATGACGATTGAAAGCAGAGAAAACTTTATAACTCCATTATCGAATACTTAATCAAGGGCAAGGATCATTTACTCGAAAAAGTGACAACAACTCGAGAGATATAAAAGCTTCTTGTCCAATATATTAAAAAAATTATATTAAAAAAGTTAATAAATAAACTTAACCTGTCCTTATACTTATTTGAAGAGTCTTTGAAAAGTAATTTAATTTAATAAACACGTTTAAACATTAAAATGTTTCAAGAGTAAATAAAAAGTTTTTTTCAATTAAAAAAAGAAGTAAATGAAGAGTATAAATAACCTACAACATCTGTAAAAAAAATATTACATAATTATTTTATAAAAAAGATTAATTGTTAATATAAAATAGTTTTGCACGATTATTTAATAAAAGTTTAACTATTTATCATATTATTAAATTTAAAAAAAATGTAAAAACGTGTTTTAATTGAATATATAATTATAATTAAATAATAGTATAATTACTTTTGTACGTCAGTATTTTTCTCTTTATAAAATTATATCGTTGTTGTATCTTATCTCATATGAAAATACATAAATCCGAATAGCCATAAAAAAAAAAAAGCACAAATCAAAATCCAAATAAATTTAAATTTAAAATACCCAACGCGAACAAATGGGAGATTTATAAATATAGTTTTAAATTGAAAAACTCTATCCCCAAATCCCCACTTTCTAGGGTTTGTGTGGATGCAGTCGCAAACTCTCTCTAAACCTCTCGATTCATCTCCTTCACAATTGGTATCAATTCTCATTCAATCTTCTTCATTATCTTTCCTCTTTCGTTATCTTCTACTGTATTTCGCTTTTCTCTTATTAACAACCTTTTTTTCAACACTATGTGTTTTATTTTCATATATAGTTGCTAACTTTGAATTGTAATTGTTGAATTTTCAAATTTTCAGAATCTGGGTGTAGTTTAATTCTCTCGAAGAAAGTATTTGTGTGAAAAAGGAATGTGCTTTTTCACTTTTGAATTAGGATTATTGGTTGAATAATTAAGATGCTATGTGGTAATATCTCAAAGCTGAAAGCTACAATTTACTGTGGTATTCATGAAACAATAACAAGGAAACAAAGAGTGTCGATTACAAGATTCAATAATCCTGTTTTGCCTCTTTCATCGTTGTGCGCAGCTTCGTTTTTATCGAATTCGACTAGTTGCTTGAATAGGAAGAAAGTTGTTGGAAAATTAATGGCTTCTTCATCTTCCAATGCTATGTTTGGAGATGTTTATGTTGATGATTTGATTTCAAACTATGGTGGTGTTCAAGACTTAACAACAAAACATGCTGGTGTGTACTTTAAAGAAAGAACTCGTAAACAGTTTGTGAGAGCTAGTGTGAGTTTGAGAAGAACACAACAACTTTTGTATGGTCCTTTAAATTTCGGGCGTTCAAGTTTTGATGCTAATTGGAGGATTCAGAATTCGGTTTTGCTTCATGGGCCGTGGTTGAAGAGTTTATCTAGCTCTTCTTCTGCTTGCTGCTTAGCTGGGGCTGCGCATGATCTCTCTTTTGATAACAGTCCTCGTGATGAACAGTTGGAAAATCCCTCTACTTTGCCTAACTTGTATGTGGTTTTTATTGGTGTTCTTTCTATTTTAATTTCTGCTTCTGCATGAACTGTTGTTAGATAAGATGATTTAGATACCAGTTCCATCACCATTGAAAGTTTTGCAATTTATACTGTTTGAAATGGAGGTTGATCATTCTGCATTAGTATTCAAAAGTGAGTCTTACTATTTCTATAAGGTTTTAAATTTTAGTATGCAGTTATGGTTTCGTTGCATTGTGATATGGACCTCTAATTCTGCTTATTAGGATTAGTTATTTTAATTAGATTTTTTATTTATTTTTACTTTTAATAAGTTAGCATATTAGAATTTTTAAATTTGAATTTCAGTATTTTTATGATAATATTTTAGGGAAAAGTAGTGTTACTAACCTAATTTTCCTATTAATTAGGATAATTATCATTTAAGTTTAAGTGATACTAATTTTAAGGGAAAGTAGTTACTAACCTAATTGAATTAGGACTCTTATTCTTTTGTAAGCTTATTTAAAGGCATTCAGGTTGACAATAAAAATCATCAATACTTATCATCAAAAGTACTTGTGAATTCAAGAAGAGACTCTTTTAAGGATGAGTCCGCTTTTGCCTTCACCATAGGTCAAAGCAAAGCTTCTACCGTGTCTAGGACTGTGTCAACAAGATCCAAGACAAGGGACCATAACACATTGTTTGATACCTCAGAAAATTGAGGACTATGGCAACCTCAATTGTGGTCTCGATGAGGCTGTAGGTCCTCCAAAAACTTCATATTGCGGTTGCGAGCCACAATTTATAAACACGGTTTCTATTTTCCGTGTTGTCAAGGCTTTTATGTGAGATCCCTAGTTTCCTTTGTCATAAACTAATTTGGTAGCAGAAGAATACACTTATAAATACTAGTTTATGCTACTATGTCTTACAGACCATTTACTTCTCCTCATTATTGAGTACTTGTATTTTCAGAACTACCCTTGATCGCAAGCCATTGAAGATGTTATCAGGATCATGTTACCTGCCACATCCAGCTAAAGTTGCTACAGGGGGAGAAGATGCTCATTTTATTTGCTCAGATGAACAAGCTATTGGTGTTGCAGATGGTGTAGGTGGCTGGGCAGATGTTGGTGTTAATGCAGGATTGTTTGCCCAGGAACTTATATCTAATTCAGTAAGAGCAGTTCAAGAGGAGCCCAAAGGTTCTTTTAATCCAGTAAGGGTTTTAGAGAAGGCTCACTCAAATACAAAGGCCAGGGGTTCATCTACTGCTTGCATCATTGCTCTTACCAATGAGGTATTACATTTTTTTATTCTACACTTTTGACTGTCAAAACAGTTCTGTAAATTTTTCGGTTTGATTGTGAAGGTAGACTTAGATTTAATTGGATGGATTTTTTTCCTTCTCATCTTCATCAACATAGAAATTTTCTACATTCTAAATTATGTCTGGTTTAATAAAAAACTTGATTATGAATCGATGACTTGTGATATGCATTTTTCTTCAGTCTTCATGTTTTGGTGATCTTTCTCTCTTAAGAAGCACAAACATGAGACATAACACATACATTAACACATACATATCAATATTAATTTATAAAAATAAAAGTGATCGAATGTAACCACATGTGTTGTCTTACACACCTTAAATCTGAAATATTTGTGCTACACACATGTGTTGTCTTACACACCTTAAATCTGAAATATTTGTGCTACATAACTGTTCTCTACAAGACTGTTGTACACGTGAAATTGTGAAAGTCTGAAGTTGTTTAATATTATATTGTCTTGCCTGTTTCTAAGTTCTTAAGTATATGTCTGATTAGTGTTTTACCTTCATGTAAGGAATATATTTCATTATTTGTGGTTGGTTTCTTCGCCCAGGCACTAAATGCTATTAATTTGGGCGACAGTGGATTCATTGTGATTCGAGGTGGTAGCATAATTTTCAAGTCTCCTGTTCAACAACACGACTTCAACTTCACATATCAATTGGAGAGGGGTAATACAGGCGATCTCCCCAGCTCTGGTGAGGTAAAATTTACTCATTAAAATCGCAACATGGAGATTGAAGATCATTGTGTTCTTTTCTTTAAAACAAGTTTATCAATTTGTGTGCAGGTTTTCACAATACCTGTTTCCCCAGGAGATATCATTGTTGCTGGAACAGATGGCTTATTTGACAACTTGTACAACAATGATATTGTTGGTGTGGTTGTAAGTTCAACTAGAGCTGGATTAGAACCACAAGCAACTGCTCAAAAGATAGCAGCATTGGCTCAAGAGCGAGCACTTGACAAGAAGAGGCACTCGCCGTTTTCAACTGCTGCTCTCGAGTCTGGATACCGATTTTATGGTGGCAAGCTTGATGACATAACAGTTGTGGTTTCTTACATATCCAGCTCAGTGAGTGAGTGATATTCTTGCCAATTTTATTTTTGCCTCATTTTGTTTATATAGCTGCTGCGGGGCTATACCTCCGTAGCAATAAGTTTTTTTCCACTTGGTTATTTCAAACATTAGTTGCCAACATTCATAAATAGTTAAATACGTTTTTTTTCTTCATATACAAAGAGGTTATTTATGGCTTCCTTGTTTGCACCACACATCAACCCTCTAAAGAAAGAAGAAATATTCAGTTTTATTTTGTCACATGTAAAGTCTGTTATCTCCTCTCACTTAACTTGCAACTAAATTTGATAATAGAAGTTACCTATACTTTAGATGTTATCAGAATTATCTTCTGTGAAAATGAATAAAAAATTAAAACTACTTCCCTCTTATGTTTAATCTTTCAAGAGAATCTCCATTGTCACAGATAAACTTTTTGGCAGATAACTATATAGAAACTCAACTATTTATGTTGCACATATAACAAAAAATATTTATACTGTCCAATAACCTTCATAAAACACAGACCTTAAACTTTATAACTGGCTCACATAAGACAGAGATTGCTGAGCATAACAAAAGATTAAACACTGAAGGTTTTTATTGCAATACACATGGCTACATGAGTACTTAACAGTAGCTCTTATTCTAATTAATACAAACACATAATTCCAACCAAAGTTTTGCAATAAACAACCTGAAAACATAACAGAAACATATGCATAAACAAGTTATTATTTTAATACACATCATATAAGTAGTGAACCCTCTTGAAAGCTGAGACACAAATCACACAATCTTACTAATCTTCAGAATTCTTCTTCCTTCAAAGCTACTCCCACTGTCTTGCTCTCTTTTCTTCTCCCTTTCTTCTTGTTGCCTTCTGGCTGCTTCTTCTTCTTCCCATTCCCATTCCGTTGTCTCTTTTTTTCTCCTCACTTCCTCTCTCCTAGCTTCCTTCTCTTCTCTTTTCCTTTCCCTCTTCTCTTGTTCTTTTCTAGCTGCTTCTTCCTCTCTCTCTGCCTCTTCTCTCTTCCTTTCCTTTTCCCTTTCCAGTTCCATTTCTTCCTCCTCTTTCTTTTCCCTCTTCTCTTGTTCTCTTTTAGCTGCTTCTCTCTTTTCTTTCTGTTCTCTAGCTTTTTCTCCAGCTTCTGCTTCTGCTTCCTTTTCTCTTTCCCTCTCCTCCTCCTTTTGTTTTCTAGCCGCTTCTTGCTCCCTTTCTGCCTCTTCCTTTTCTCTCTCAGCTTCCTCTTCCCTCTTCTTCTCCCCCTCCTTTTGTTTTCTAGCGGCTTCTTGCTCCCTCTCTGCCTCTTCCTTTTCTCTCACAGCTTCCTCTTCCCTCTTCTTCTCCTCTTTCTTTTGCTTTCTAGCTGCTTCTTGCTCCCTCTCTGCCTCTTCCTTTTCTCTCACAGCTTCCTCTTCTCTTTCCCTCTCTTTCTGCTCTTGTTTTCTAGCTTCTTCTTTCTCTCTTCTAACTTCTTCTTGCTCCCTCCTTACCTTTTCCTCTCTTCTTGCCGCCTCTTCTCTCCTCCTTGCCTCTTCCTCTCTCTTTGCTTCCTTCTCTTGTCTTCTCCTTTCCCTCTCTGCTTGTTGTCTTCTAGCTGCTTCTTCCTCACTTTTCCTTTCTTCCTCCTCCTCTTCTCTTTTTCTTCTTCTTTCCCTCGCTTTTTCTTCCTCCTCTCTCTTCTCTTCTTCCTCTTTTTCTCTTCTTTCCCTCTCTTTTTCTTCCTCCTCTCTCTTCTCTTCTTCCTCTTTTTCTCTTCTTTCCCTCTCTTTTTCTTCTTCCTCTTCTTCCTCTTTCCTCCTCTTCTCCTCCTCCTCCCTTTCCTCCTCCTCTTCTACCTCCATTAATCTCTCCTCTTCCTCTGCGCAAGAACTACACCCGAAAATGATCGAATCAACTGGATCATCCAAAAGCTTGTCAATGGCTGCTTTGTTTACACCTAAAGATGTAGCAACTATCTGTTTGTCTAGAGTTTGAAGCACTGATCCTTTACCAGCCAAAAACTGAGGATGATTTTTCTTTGCAGCAGTGCTGAATCCCATAAAAACAAGTGGCCCTCTAGCAAATGACATTTGAGCCATTACATGAAATCTAGGCACCACAAAAACATCTCCTTGCTTAACTCTAAACCTCTTGTTTTCACATTCATGATCATTGTTGCTTCCACATACTATTCTTACCATACCTTCCCCCTGCAACACCACTGCTATTTCTGCTGCCAATGGATTCCAATGTGGCGCCAATATTGATCCCTTTCACAAAACAAATTTATCAATATAACTTCATAAACACGAACTAAAAAATTTAAGTTATATTTTAACTAATAATGAAGTTATAGTAACTTGTAACATAATCACTGACCGGGTTCAAATTCACCATGAAAAATCCAATGTTGTGATGCTGTAATTCTTTGACTTGCTTTTTGGTCACTGTTGAGGTCCAACCATAGTCATCTCTGAAGTCAGGATCATTATCAAAGATGTTGTATACTTTGAGCTTCTTGGAGTTGGATTGAATGCCTCTTAAGTATTTTAGAAATGAATTCTCCAATTCCAAGACATTGTTATGCTTCTTCACTGGAACTGCATGCACTATTGCTGGTGCCTCTCTGTTGTCTGTGATTGCCTCAGCCAAATCTTCCGGCACCTTAAAAAAAATTGATTGATTTTGATTTTTCCTAGAAGTAGCTTAATTGAAAAGTGATTTATGTTTGAATTTTATGCTTTTGCCAATACCTTAAAAGCTGCTTGAATGATATTCTTATCAAAGCCTTTGACTAGTTCATTGACCCTCGAGTAAGCACCAATTGATGGATCCTGCATTTTTCATTAACATGAACTATTGCAACCAAACAAGGCTTAGAAGCTTTAATGTAAAAAAAAAAAGAAGAAGAAAAGAATACACTTACAAAAGTGCTTTCATCAGTATTAGTAAACATTGCATATATCCTCAGTTTCTTCCTGTGTGATTCCAAGTTGCTGTGTATATAGAAAACAGATCCTTCTCTAAGGCTACATACATCTCCTTCATGTATATCCATTGTACCAGTACCATCTTCATTTGCCCATGTCAGCTTTCCACTCCCTGAAAAAATGTGTTACTGGTATCCGTGCTTCACAGTTAACAACTGAAGTAACAAAGTATTGTATTATTGTGAAAGGTACTACCTGTATGAACATAAAAGACCATAGCGGCATGTAGAAGCACAGGAAGAAACACAGAGTTAGGTTCCAATGTAAAGAACTGAAGATGATAAGGTGGTGTGTTTTGTCCATCTTTGACATTAGTGGCAGAGATTTTTCCATCTTCACTGTTAAACAATATCTTCCTTTGATCCCTCTGCACCACAGGTCCTCTATGAGCCTTCACAGTACTGTGTTCCTCACTTGATAGTGCCTTTGATTGACACAGGGAAATGGTAATAAGGAAGAAAATCAACAAGGAAGGTGAGAGAGTTTTTCGAGTTTCCATTATCAAAAGAGTTATAGAGAAGTTGGATTGAACTAGAATGGTTTTGCACTTAGAAAAGGTGTCTCTATATAGAGAGAACGCGGTGGTGATATGCATTTTTTTTTAAAGTTTGCATGTGTTGCTTTTAGGACACGTTAATGGTTGAAACAGGTGGCAGTTTAGTAGGTGAAGGTGTATGTGTGTGAGTGTGCAACTAAGGTACAAAGATGAGAATGAGTGAGATCACTATGAAATCTTTGATGCCAAATCTGTGAGTTGTCTTTTTGGAGTATTTTGATATTTAAATTTCATATATAACTTGGATAACCTCCAATTTTTAATAGCAATAATCATAACAATGATATATGGCCACAACATTTCTTATATATAATCAAAATTGGATCGCATATGGAACTAATGTATTTATGGGTTTAGAGTTTTAATGTTGAGTGGAGTTGAACTTGGGTTGAACTCACTATATATAAATTAAATATTTTCTGTTTATACATAAGAATAATAATGTACAAAAAATAATTATATTTTTAAATGATAAAAAAATTATTGATAATTTTTTAATAATTAATATTTAATAGTTATTTTAATTTTTTATAGTCTTTTATATTTTTAATAAATTAGATAGTTAAGCCCAAAACTTTCATTTTAATATAATAAAATAATAATAATAATAATAATAATAATAATTAAAAATTTAATAATTTTATTAAAGGTAATCATTTTTGTCTCTGTCATAAAGGTTATTTTTGGTTTACTCTTCTAAAATTTTTTTTTTTTTCAAAAACAACCTTGCCAATTTAAAAAATTAATAATTTAGTCGTAAAATCAAAATTCGCATGTAAATCTGAAAGAAAATTCGTAGGAAATCTGTAGATTTTGACTTTTGTAACTAAAATGTTAGTATTTTGAAATGGTAAGATTATTTTTACAAATTTTTTTTACAGGAGGTAAACCAAAAGTGACCTATATAACAAGAAGCAAAAGTGGTAATAACCCTTTTATCAATTGTTTGTTCACGATATTATATCTAATCATTTTCTTTTCTCATATATTATGTGTTGAATTGTATTTTATCGTATTTATCTATTATATATTATTATATAAAATTCACTTTCATTCATCAAATTGTTAGTGCGTGAGACACCTTTAGTGAGAGAAGAAAGAGAAAATAATGAAATAAAGATAGTATTATTGAATTGAATTGTACAAACTGAATTATAAACTATATCTATTTATATACACTTAACTTATAGACTAAGTAGACTAACAAATCCTAATTAGGTTTGAGTTTAAATTACACAACTTGAATTATATCTAATATCTCAACAAAAATGAATATAGAACAAAAAAAGAATTCAAAATAGTTTTTACTTTGACTTTTTTACAATAATGTGTACTAGAATGTGTATCCCCATAATCTAAGTTGTCGAAACTACACTAACCATAGTCAATTTGAACTATTTCTAATTTCTTTCTCAAATTCAAGAATCTGTCGATCTTTAATTCTTTGGTGAAAATGTCGATCAACTGTGCTTCCCTTGAGCAATGTCTTATTTTAAGTTCACCTCAATTTACCTTCTCCCTTAAGAAGTGAAATCTAACTTTGATATGCTTACTTCTTCCATGTAAAACAAAATTCTTTGCAAGATTAATGGCTGACTTGTTGTTGATCTGTAACACTAGAGATTTCTTCACTTCGACCTCGATCTCTTTCAACACAGATCTGATCCAAATTGCTTGACATGCAACATATGATCTTGCTATATATTCAGCCTCACACAATGACAATACCACCATATATTACTTTCTCGAGCACCATAAAGTTGAGGCACCAAATACTTGTGCTTCTTTGATCTTCTTTATCTTCACATCAATCAGCATATGAATAGTAAGTAACCGTAGCTTCTTTGCTTTGAGAGTTTCGTCAAAATAATACTCCACAGCTTATCAATCCTTTTAAGTATCTCAAAATCTTCTTGTAGCCTTCATGTGTGACACCCTGGATTCACTATGTATCTGCTTACTAATTCGACTGCAAAACTTATATCAGGTCTAATGTTGCACACATACCTCAGAGATCCAGTTATTTGTTTAAACAAAGTTACACCAACATTGTCTTCCTCTCCACGCTTTTCCAACTTCAAATTTGGTTTGACAGGAAAAGATGTTGGAGTCGAATCATCCATCTTTAATCTCTTGAATATCTCTTTGACATACTTTTTTTGATGTAGCACAATTTCTTGCTCCGACATTTGAAATTCCATGTCCATGAAATAAGACAATTTTCTCAAATATGACATTTCAAATTTCTTCATCATCAACTCTTTGAACTTCAACGAATTCTCCAACTATTTTTAATTACCAGCAAGTAATCGACATATAAGCAGATGATTGTTATATCTTGTACCACAACCTGAACATAAATAACATATTCAGATTTTCATTTGACAAATCTCAATTCGACTAAGTATGAGTTAATCCTCCTGTTTCATGCCCTAGGTGCCTGTTTGAGGCTATATAGCGTTTTGTCCAACTTGTATACCTTACTCGCTTCCTTCTGAATCACAAACCCACGAGGGTTGTATAACATAAACCTCTTCGTCTAAAGGACCATTCAGAAATGCTGACTTCACATCTAAGTGAAATGCCGACCAGTCTTGGTTGCATGTCAATGCTACCATTACTCGAACAATCTCCAATCTTTCTACTAGAGCAAATATTTTAGAGTAGTCGAGTCTTGTTCTCTGAAGAAAACCTCGAGCTAATAATCTTGCTTTATGTATTGTTATCGACCCATCAACATTGTGTTTCAACTTCAACATCCATTTTACTTCGATAGCTTTTGTATGTGCTGGAAATTCGACTAGCTCTCATGTGTTGTTTTTTTCTTTGATTACCTGTAACTCTTCAACCATTGCTAACTTCAACTGTTTAGTATTTAAAGCCTTTCTATAGTTGATTAGTTCAACACCTACAAGTAAAGCATAATGAGCTAATTCTCCATCCGGTGTTACTTCACCATCACCAGTCACTTCATCGTATTGAAGTCTTGTTGGACGAACTCTAATTCTTTGAGGTCTTTGGCTTGTGCTAACCATACTTCTTCAATTTTGACTGTGTCGGGTATGTCAACAACCGCTTCGACTTCGAATGGAATATCTATAATTTCTTCAACTTCGACTTCATTAGTTTCTTCGTTTAAACCATAACTAATTAATGGCTTGTTAATTGCATCGTTAGAATTCTAAGCCCATGCAGATTTCTCATCAACCACAATGTCTCGACTCAACATAATTGTCTCATTAATTGGATTAGATAGTCTGTATGCACCAATTTTATGATATCCTACCATAATTATAGGTTCACTCTTGTCATCAAGCTTCATTCTTCTCACATCAGGAACATGCTTGTAACACATATAGCCAAACAACTTCAGATGACTCACTGATGATCGTTTGTCACTCCACACTTCTTCAGGAACCTTGTTCTTCAATTTCTTGGTAGGGCACATGTTCAGAATATAAACTTCACTCCAAACAACTTCACCCCATAAAGATTTTGGCAAATTCTTTTGCTTCAGCGTGCATCTCGCAATATCCAATATGATTATGTTTCTTCTTTATGCAATTCTATTATGTTGAGGCGTATAAGGAGCAATTACCTCATGATCGACACCATATTCTCCACAAAACTCTTCAAACATCTTGGACATGTATTTGCCACCTTCATCTGTTAGCAAAACTTTGATCTTCTTTTCACTCTGGTTTTTGACAAGTATCTTGAATCTCTTAAAGATTTCAAATACTTCGTCTTTTTGTTTGATCACATAGATCCAAAGTTTTCGACTATACTCATCGATAAATGAGACGAAATACTTGTTTATGTCAATGGTATGTTCTTCAAACGAGCCACATACATATGAATTTACAACTTTAAGTATGCAATATGATCTCATTGGCATAGTCGAAACAAAAGACTTTCTGGACTGCTTTCCGACTAGACAACCTTCATAGAGTTTGTAGGGAATCTCAAGACTTGGTATATATCATTACCATCTCTTGAGTAAAAAGCTGATTGAACGATTTAAAATTTAGATGGCCAAACCTCAAATGCCACAACTAACTATCCTTGTGGCCGACAAATACTTTCAAACATTGTACCTATATCGAATTGATCATAGTCGTAAGCATCTGATTCTTCGACAACAGAGATTTTAAGACCAAATTATTTTGGAAGTCGGACAATTCTAAAGCTCAATCTCTCATGACGAATGAGAAACCTTTTTTGATAAGTTGTACAACACTTAGTAAATTGCACTTCATGCCAGGTACATAAAGCACATCTTTGATCAAAGCTTTAACTCCATTGCTTCTTTGAATAACAATGTTGCCAGTACCTTCTACTTGCAACGAGCTATTGTCAGCAAGTTTAACCTTGCTCTTCTTCGACTCATCAAAATCATATAACCACTCCTTTCGACCAATCATGTGATTTGAATAACCAGAATCGAGGAACCAGATATTGGATTCGACATGGTTATCTGCAACTGCAACTATAACTACCATATCATCAAAATCATCTGAATCTTGGCGTGCAAGGTTCGCTCATTCGTCCTTGCGTTTTGTCGATCCATTGTTTTTCCTGTACCAACAATGCTTGGCTAAGTGACCATACTTTTCACAGTTATAACACTGCACACCTTTTTTCTCTTCTCTGTCTTTTTGATAGGAATTTTCTTCTCTTTTCGAGGATTCAGAAGCCCTGTCATCGACCGTATTCTTGTTAGGATTCGACCAAGACTTCTTGCCCTGAGTCTTATCGATTTTTCCTTTGAATTTGTTGGAACCACCATTATTTATCCAAGACCGAGCCTGCAGTGCTTGTATCGAGTCTTGAACTCCTTTCCTTTCGATAATCTTAATCTCATGTATTTCCAACGAATCAACCAAGTCTTCCAATTTTAAGGTTTCAAGCTTGTCTTGAATATTTATGATAATATGATCTAA